CTCAATAAACACTCTTGCTGAATAACAAACGGCCTCAAATGCTTCCAAAGACATATCTTGGATTCCTCACACTTTTGGTTCTCCATGGCAGCTAGAACTTCTCTACAAACACAGGTTGCAAACGCCATTGCAGAGAAACTGAATTTTAGGGCAGATCATTCTAGTTTAGCACCTTCCTTTTATGGATAAGAACGCCTAGAGCCGGCGGCGATGACAGCTTTATGGGGGCAGAAAGAGGGGCAGGCACGTCTCCTCACTCCAGGGCTCTGTGCACCGATTTATATCCCCCGCCACCATTTTCCCCTCGAAGCAGGACACAAGTGACTACATTTTAGTTGCAAACTGATTTTTCTTTGGAGCTTTATGAAATTTAGCACCTACTAGAGAGTGGAACTCGTTTCATTGGTTTAGCCTTCCGAAAGCTTACTTCTGGTGAAAATACAGAGTACTTTAAACATCAGGGAACCTCATCTGCAAAATACTGAACGTAGAAGATCCACTTCTAAAGCCAGGTAATTTACCCCAACCAGCAAATTCCGTGCATTCACGTACCGGCCGTCCGTGAATGCTTTCATAATATAACAGAGCTTTCTGCAGGGCCACTTTCTCATTAGCAATCTGGTCTTTGGTCATATCCTGTATAAACACAAGGACAGAAAATGAGAAAGGGGAAAACATTTGTGAACGTCCCGACTTCTTTATTTAGTTAAACAAATTTCCCACGGTGAGGTTAAAAAGAATGTTTATACGACAGCCCTCCCTAGCTCGATCCAAAGCTAGGAATTAGCTATTCCTGGTGTCTTACTGGAAACACAGACAGCACAGCAGAATCGTCACCTATGAGTACTCCTATCTCCCATGCCGTGGGCAAAGGCACGTTGGACTGAGGTAAACAAGGCTGCAAGGCACATGGGGCTCAGCTTACCGGCTCCGGCAATGACTACAGTTACAGGACACACATTCCCAAAGGCTTGTCTCTCATCCTCAGAGAGTCACCACACTGTCTATTAACTGAAACAAGTCCATTCTTCAATCTGTACAACAGGGTTTCCCGCTTTCAGTCTGCAGTCCAAACCCAAAGTACCTACAGTTAAAACGCTCTGAGTTTGTTTTATCTGCTTCTCTGGACGTCTCAGAGTGTGGGAGGTTTAAAGAGGTGTCGCTCTACCACCCTTCCCATTGGGACCCTGGGACGTGCCCTGCCATCCTACCACGCTGACTGGAATGCTTTCGGATTAGCAGTCGGCTCGGGGCCTTCAGAGAATCACACCTTAATGTCCTCAGGACGGCTGGTTTCCACCCGCTTCTCCTGGAGCTTCCTTTGGATGGACTCCAGCGTGGCTTCGACGCTAGGCTTTAAGGCTTTATCTACCAGCTCTTGCTTCTTCTCATCTTCTTTCTCAAGCTGGGAGCCAAAACTCTTGGGGAGAGTATTGCTTCGCTGCCGCATCCTGGGGCTTAGGTCCTCTTCCGATATCTTCAGTTTTGACTCTAGGAGAAAAGATTTGGGGGTGGAGATGTATGGGAATTGACGTCTGCTGAACCCAGATTGTTTCTCTGTGCTGTTAACGACTGCCTAGCCTTGTCTTTTTTTCCCCAGAAAGTATCTAATTATAATATCAGTCGAAATCCCTGGGTTATCGTGTTAAACCCAAGAAAAATGATAACGTCTTCCTGGATTCTCTGGTATGATTTCCTAACCCTAATTCCTGAGAAAGTTTTAGTTCTTTAACAGCCATGCGTTAGCCACACCAACCTGTTTGCTGTTCTCAGAACGAGGCGGATGTCTTCCTTCACTGATTCCCTTAGCGTTTACAGGTATTTGCAGATCTAGCGCCCAAGTGCTGGCCAACTTTTTCTGTATGACGTGTATACCTCATATTGGAATTATTTTTACTTTGTATTCTATTCTATTGTGTATATGACTCTGTGTCCTAAAAGACAGCAAGCGCTTTGAGGGACAGGGACCAAATCCTTCTCATATCCATCTGTGCTCTCTGTCTTAATTCCATAGCAAATAAAGCCTTGGATTAAACAGGTACTTCGAGTTGAAACCATCATTCTTATATTAGTGATTTAGGGAAGTAAGAAATATGCTGCCGAATTTGCATCTTAGCTGATCTGGGTTTCCCCGTGATTGAGGCCATGGGAAGACATGGAGAAAGTGTGCCCTGAACACTTAGAGCCCTGGGAAGCAGCTTCAAGAAACTTGTCTTTCCCGGAATATTTTAGCAGTAAGTGGCACCCAGCACGTGGTGAGGTCACAGCTTCTGCACCTGGCTTGTTCTCTGGAGACCACACCATAGGTCTAGAACTCTACCTACCTTTAAGTTGTTTCCGGAATTTGGCAAGGTCGTTTGTCCATTTCAGAACCTCTGGATTGGCTGCTTTGTCGCTGTGGGAAGGCTGAGAAAAGGAAATCTTGAGTAAATGTTTTGGAATTGGGGCAGGAAAAAGAAGAGTTTGATAATCAGTTTGTTTTAAAACAGGAAGGAAAAGTTGAGTTCCACTGGAACAATAAATGAACCGTGATTAATCAGAGCAACTTCACAGGTGCGATTCCATTACCCTTCTTTATATCTGGTTGTTTATTTATTTTTTAATACTATCTGGTTATTTTTTTTTTTTTTGCGGTATGCGGGCCTCTCACTGCTGTGGCCTCTCCCGTTGCGGAGCACAGGCTCCGGACGCGCAGGCTCAGCGGCCATGGCTCACAGGCCCAGCCGCTCCCCGGCATGTGGGATCTTCCCGGACCGGGGCACGAACCCGTGTCCCCCGCATCGGCAGGCGGACTCTCAACCACTGCGCCACCAGGGAAGCCCTATCTGGTTATTTTTGATGCTTTCAAAGAATTCCTCAGAGGCAAAATTCTGGATTTTTATGATCATGGACTTCTATGAGGCCCATGGCCTCTTTTCCTTTGTTTGTAGGGTTCAACCTGTCAGGCTAACAGGATAGAAAGCAGAGGGGTATGGGATATTTTACGCTACAAACACCACGAGAAATGCCTTTTTTGCCACTCTTGTGAGAAATACTAAGGATAGAGCTGAGAGTAGAATGAGGTCAGTACTAATAAAATTTTAGAAGATAATCTTGAATTATGTTTTAGGCAAGCGAAATACTTCGTTTAATGATTTTTCCCGTCCCTGTTCACTGGTCAATTTGCAAGACGTTGAGGAAAGCATTCAGTTCCTTTGTAAGGATACACCTGTGCAAGGAATTTGCTGATACATGATGTCTGGGGTTTATCAGGGTTTATTACCCAGTGCTTATTGCCTTTCTGTTTTGAGATTCCCTAGAAATTTCCCTTCCCCTTTATCACTTCTCTGACTTGCTGACGCTCAGATACATCACGTCGAGGGAGGCGGGGGACGGAGGGAAGCCGGCGAGGATGCTCACCCTGTACTTCCGCTCTTCTTCGAATCTGTCTTCAAACTTTCGGATCTTCTTTTTCAGGCTCTGAATCCTTCGCGTGAGCTGTGCAGGTGTCAGGTCCTCTTGCCCATCGTCATAGGAGCCCAGAGAGGAGCTGCGTCGCCTGTGAGGGACACAGGGCGGGGTCAGCTTCCCTAGGAACAGTCACCGCCTGCTGGGAGGGGCTCTGGGGATGAGGGATGAAGGATGGGGTAGACAGGGGTGGGCGGGACCGTCCAAGCCGCGTTTATCCTCTCGAATAAAAGAAAGCTGACTGCTAATTCATGTTGTGACCTTGAGCTCTGCATGTCCTGCCTTTGCCATAGGTCCAGTCTTCTCCAGCTCACCTTTACACTCGGCGAAGCTAGGACTGAAATGTGCACAGTGGACCTCACGGTTAAATGTGAGAGAGCTCCGGAAAGGAGGGGCTGACGGAGATTCAGCTGGTGATGCTGTAGCTGGGCCACAGGTCAAGTGAACAATTACAACAGAGCGTGTGCACTAGGATGGGGAGTTTCAAATATGTTCCTCCATACACGTACGACTTAATTAAAAAAAATTACTAGCCATCAGCAACATTCCTAGGTCTTCTAATGTTACAGGGATGGTATCTTTGCGCATCTGCGACATAAAGAAACATACCTCATGAAAGGATGGGAATTGGGGGGAGAAGGAGGCACTTCCGTGTCGTCCAGGTACTGCCTGCTCTGCCCGTAAGCGTAGAAGCGGGGAGAGAGCATGGGGCCGCTGTCCTCATCCAGGAGCTGCCGAATCAGGCGCCCTGCCTGCGGGGAGAGGCGTGCTTCGTCAGCGTGTACACTCTCCCGCTGCCACGAGGAGAAAGCAGGGGTGGGCTCTGGAAAAGAACAAGGGTAAGAGGGCCAGATGGGTCTTTAGAGCACACTTGTTTTCTGAATGCATCAGGAGGAACTGAATTCGGGAGGCACATTTTATTTATTTTAGTTTTTGCTTGGCTGCGCTGCACGGCTTACAGGTTCTTAGCTCCCCAACCAGAGATAGAACCCGTGCCCCCTGCAGTGGAAGCGCAGAGTTCTAACCACTGGACCACCGGGGAATTCCCAGTTTCACATTTTAGATGGAAGGTTGTAACTCGGGACACTATGCCCTGACCGGGATCAGCAAATCTAACTGACAGCCATCATCTACCCTCTGTCTCCACCCTCACTTGCCTTCAAAAGAGAATGTGCTAGGGCTGCCCTGAGGAACAGTGTGTGCTTCCAACTTTCCCCACAGATCACTGTTGATAACTTCTCCATCTGAGGGTGTTATGGAAGAGAAACTCACGTGTGCCTGGGAGGGAGGGGTTTGGCATCATGGCTGGACATCCGTCACTGAAACCACTAAGGAATCACATTAACCTTGTGAGACCCCATCGGTTTAGGAGTTTACGCCCTCCGTTGAGGTCATTCAATAAGCCTGTTTTGTGTGCTTCTGCTTAGCATGTTAGGATTTAGCATGTTTAAAATACATGCTCTGTACCTGAAACCTTAGAGGCTACTTAAGACTACAGTTAAAGTAAGATACATGCATAAAATTAGTCAGAAAAGAAAAAAAGAATGCCTTACAAAGGACAAATCAGTATGAATTATTTTAGACACCCTTGAAAAAAAAACAGACTTAGGACAAAATCCTGATTTGTCATTTTGGGAGGGAATAGGATATTGATTTCCCTTCACTGCAAGACCCACCTCAATGTATTTCTTTCCTCATTAAGAAAATCCTATCTGACATATTTTCAGGATAGATCTCAGATGATGTAGGGGATTTCATTTGTAATCCTCTCCTTCATTAAAAAAAACAAGAAAAGATTACGCTTTAAATACACTTGTGGATAATGTGATTTACACAAGGCTGGAATTTGGCCATGATCTTAAATTCTGGGATTCCCACAGTTTGAATCATGGAACAATTGCTCCTTCAGCTATCAAAGTATTTCTAAAATCTACAAAATTATCTTAAACAAGTGCTCACTCAGTATTTTCCTTCAAAAGATCGTACTGTAATCACGGAACATTAAAGCTGGTTGAAACTTCATACATCATCTAACCTGGTGACTTTTCAAAGCTGGCTGCACATTAGGGTCACAGAGAGAAGTATAAATAACTCCTACCGTACAGGTCCTCACACCACCCAATTAGGCAGAATTTTTAGGTGAGGGTCCACATATGTGTGAGACACACACACGCAAACACACACTCTCTAGAAAGCTTCCCAAGTCTTCCAAAATGCAGTCGGGTTTGAGAACTACTGATTCAATCCAACGGATTACAGATAAGGACACTGAAACCCAAAGAATTCCAGAGCAAATACCTAATCAATGACAAGAGTTGGGTCTAGAAACCCAGTCTCCTATCCTCCAGGACAGTGCTTCAATTCAGAATGTGCCAGGCGCTTCAAGGACAAGGATGGCTGTCTTAAAAATATTTTAAACCCCACGGTACGGTAGGAGAGTTAGGCGCATTAATTAAAAAAAATGAACCTCATGTGGAATGAGGCCCACAGGTTCTCAGAATTTAAAGACAACCAAGTTATCTGGTAACACAGACGATACTATAAATACTTTGAAAAATGAAAGCATGTTAAAGACAGAGTCTTGCCTATCGAGTCTTAAAGAGTGGCAGAGAATATGCTGGTAGATAGACATGGCTAAAGCCGGAGACGAACAGAAGTTGTTTCATTGTTTGCACTGACACTGTTGGCTGGCCCCCCCTAAGTGGCAGAGCTCAGGTACGAGCAGCTCTGGAAATGCCAACAGGAAAGAGTGAAAATGGATTGAGAGGTGAGGGGCTATGAGGGAAGGAGAAGGTGAGTGGAAAGCAATTCCTAGAAAAATAACAAAAAGGTAGTATGAAGCTGCAGAACATGGGACTATTAAGCTGAGTAGATGACATCGTCTAGTCCATGATATTTCATAAGACAGGAGTAATTTTCTATAAGGACTAAAATCAATGGAACCAGGACAGGGAAAGGGTTAAGATGACTTGAACAGTAAAGCAGCACGCAACCACCTCACTGCCAGGTGGCAAAGGAGCAAAACCCCTGGGGGAAGGGCTCGGTGGTTGGTGAGGACAGAGGGCATCGGCTAAACAAAGTCTGATGTTGACGTTGGCATGGGTGTGCTGTCTACATTTCTCCTCATCAAAACTCAGTTTGAAAAGGTGTTACTGGAGGTCCTGAAGCCCTTTAATCTGTCTGAATCTAGCAGATATAACTCTTCAAAAATATTACAACTCATCTTTGCTTTGAGCTTGAACTCTGTGGTCTCTGTGCACCAAAATTTCTGCAAAAACAGTATGTGTTTGTGACCATTAACCAAACATGTCTCCAGTAAAAAATATACAGTGATCCTGAGTTAACTACAGAATAGTAATCATGTGTTTGACGCTTTGTGACTGGCGTGGGGCCATCCCTCAGACTCTGCCTTTTCGTTAACACAGCTGTCTTCTGGGGCTCCATTCTGACCCATCGCCTCACTGACAAGAAGACAAAATGTGTCATTTTCCTAGTGTCACCAGTGGTGTATATATAAAGTACATGGCTGAAGAAATTGTAGCTTATGGGTGACGCTGTTTCTTGAATTCACTTTTTATATTTTTACTTTTTACTGAATGATTCTGTTTATTTTTCAATTGAAGTATAGTTGGTTTACAATGTTGTGTTAATTTCAGGTGTACAGCAAGGTGATTCAGATATATATGTATACATATACACACACACACACACACACACGTATATTCTTTTTTAGATTCTTTTCCATTATAGGTTATTATAAGATATTGAATATAGTTTCCTGTGCTATACAGAAGGCCCTAGTTGTTTATCTATTTTATTTGTTCATTTATTTATTTATTATTATTTCTTAACATCTTTATAGGAGTATAATTGCTTTACAATTGTTTACCTATTTTATATACAGTAGTTTGTATCTGTTAATCCCCAACTCCTAATTTATCCCTCCCCATCCCCTTTCCCCTCTGGTAACCATAAGTTTGTTTTCTATGTCTGTGAGTCTATTTCTGTTTTGTAAATAAGTTCATTTGTATCATTTTTCTAGATTCCACATATTAGTGGTAGCATATGACATTTGTCTTTCTCTGTCTTAGTTCACTTGGTATGATAATCTCTAGGAAATTCACTTATTTAAAAATGAGAAATAGGGCTTCCCTGGTGGCGCAGTGGTTGAGAGTCCGCCTGCCAATGCAGGGGACACGGGTTCGTGCCCCGCTCTGGGAGGATCCCGCATGCCACGGAGCGGCTGGGCCCGTGAGCCATGGCCGCTGAGCCTGCGCGTCCAGAGCCTGTGCTCCACAACGGGAGGGGCCGCAGCGGTGAGAGGCCCGCGTACCAAAAAAATAAATAAAGAGAAATATAAGACCATTAAGAATTTCAACCTTATAAGCTGGGACGAAGTGAGAGAGTGGCATGGACTTATACACACTACCAAATGTAAAATAGATAGCTAGTGGGAAGCAGCCGCATAGCACAGGGAGATCAGCTCGGTGCCTTGTGACCACCTAGAGGGGTGGGATAGGGAGGGTGCGAGGGAGACGCAAGAGGGAGGGGATATGGGGACATGTGTATATGTATAACTGATTCACTTTGTTATAAAGCAGAAACTAACACACCATTGTAAAGCAATTATACTCCAATAAAGATGTTAAAAAAAGAAAAAGAATTTCAACCTTAACAAAATAAAGACATGTTTCATCATTAGTTGCAGACAGAAGTTTCTCACCTGTGCAGTATGAAATGCTTAAATGATTTCCCTCTCCTTTCTCTCTCTTTCTTTAATTCTATACAGCCTTATAATTTAAAGCTTCTACTCAAAAGAGTTATATAATTACATGTAATACATAGCTCAGTATAACTAAAGAATCAGTAAGACCAACAATTCCTCTGTTTTAGTCTGAAGTGATCTAAGGATACAAGGCTATCTCATGTTTTGATAGTTGGCGCTCAAAGAGAATAACAGGAACAAACCGAGAACAACCCTGTAGTCCGTGATAGCATGTCCTATGCATTACCTGCCTGCTTAGAGAGCGAGTTTGAGACTGTGTTCACTGACCATTCCCAACTGAGGACTTGGGAAATATTTTATATTTTAATCAGTAATTCTAGAGCAATGAAACAGACAAGGATATTGCAAGACAATTATTCAAAGGAAAAGAGAAAAGAGTTGAGGCTTCAAACTGGATTTTCATCTTAAAGGACCACATAAAACAAAAGCATTTTCATATCTGGACCAGAATTCCCTGGGTACGGTGGTTTTGATTTTAGCCATGTGTCTGGTCACAAAGAACTCTGGACTTAAGTATGGCACGTCTATTAAAAATTAATCCGCCCAGGTTAGCTGACATCACAGCAGGTCAGAAATAACAGATAAAAGCTGTATGCTTGCTACCTAAGTAATGAAAAAGAAGAGATCCTGGGGGAGTTCCAGTTCAGACACTTGCAGCACACATGGAAATGAAGGAGATTCACTGCAGGAAGAGGGAATACAACTCTAATGCTAACGTGATCACTGGGACATAGCTCCTCTCTGCTTAGCTGGCTGGATCCATTTACTACACAAAGAAAACTGACTACTGATGATTTATCTCTAAGAAATCTGCACAGAATTAAGGGAGCTGACGCTTTCCACGTCTCATTACCACCTATGTATATGCTATTTAGAGCCATTCCTACTCGTCGTGATGTCGCGCTGTCTTCCCAGGAGGCTACTCGGCAGCACTGGAGGTCCCTGCACATCCCAGATGCAGAAACATGGAAGCCCCACTGGTGAGGGGTCTTCACTGGGGGAAGCCTTTCATAAAATTTTCCTTAGAATTCCAAAATTTAATCTTAGAACAACGGCTGTCCTATTAAATTGTTCCAATAGTCTCGCAAACTATCAGAGTTAGAGGGAAACTTAGTAGCCATCAATCCAAAATAACATCAGCTAGGTCCATCTGTGTTCTGCAAATGGCATTATTTTATTCTTTTTAATGGCCGAGTAATATTCCATTATATACATATGTACCACATCTTCTTTTTCCATTCCTCTGTCAATGGACATTTAGGTTGCCTCCATGTCTTGGCTATTGTAAATACAGCTGCAATGAACACTGGGGTGCATGTTTGTCCTACTGAGTGAAGTAGGTCAGACAGAGAAAGAGAAACATCGTATGACATCCCTTATGTGCGGAATCTAAAAAGAAATGATACAAGTGAACTTATTTACAAAACAGAAACAGACTCACAGACTTAGAGAACAAACTTATGGTTACTGGGGGGAAGGATGGGGGGAAGGGATAGCTAGGGAGTTTGGGACTGACATGTATACACTGCTATATTTAAAATGAATAACCAACAAGGACCTACTGTATAGCACAGGGAACTCTGCTCAATGTTATGTGGCAGCCTGGCTGGGAGGGGAGTTTGGGGGAGAGTGGATACATGTATATGTATGGCTGAGTCCCTTTGCTGTGCACCTGAAACTATCACGACGTTGTTAATGGGCTACACTCCAAGAGAAAATAAAAAGTTAAAACAAACAAAAAGGCAACATCAGCTAGCACTCACTCAGTGCCCAACAAGTGACTGTGCTGAGTACTCTGCATATGTTAGCTCATTTAATCCTGCAAAAACATACTAAGTAGACACTACTATAGTTACTACACGTTATTAGGTACTGTGCCACCTATTACAAGATGGGGAAGCTGAGGCCCAAACGGAGACAGGCTGACTACCTTGTCCACAAAGCTGATTAAGTGGTAGAGCCATGATTTGAACTCTGGACGTGTCTGCCTCTTAACCTCATGGTCCCACTGCCTGCCGCGATACTGAACTGGCACTGCTTAGAAAGAGGGCGGAAGTCAGGAGACAGTGATCTTGAATCATCATGTTGCCTCTTTCAGCCTCAGCTTTCTTAGCTGTATAATGGGAGGGCTCAACTGTAAGATCTTTAAGATCCCTGGCTTCTCTATCATTTTTTTTTAGAGAATTTCCTTTCTACAGTTATTTTTGATAAGCAGTAAGTGACGAATAAGATATCTGAAGTATTTTATGTCCTTTAAAAAATGTTCTTTCAAAGCTGATTTCACCAGGACAAATCTAATAGAGTAACCGAGTGTTTACATCTCAGTACTTCCACAAGGGGTGGAAATCAACATGAATTGGCAGATTGGGAACATTCTAATTATGTAACTTTCAAGGACTTTAAATAACGAAGACTAGTTCATTTGATTTGTGTATTCATTTAATTTTGGAGAGCGGAAACCCTAGTAATAGTGATGATGATGTTGCTGTCATGTGGACAGATCAAATAATGTGCCCTAATACATAGCTACACGTAGAGAGAAAAAAAGATCAAGCATGTATTATGAATCTGTCAACAAGCACAGCTAGACCATGATCCTACATTCACTTTGAGAGGGTTCCACTCTATGTAGCCTATGGAACCTATTATCAGTTTCATTTTTCTTTTTATTTCCCTGATACCATATGCCCCAGAAGCCAGAGAACATCATTTCCACGTGGGAGCATACACAGTAGAGAACAGTGCCAGCAGGCTGCTCCTTAAGTACTGTCTCACCTGATATTCTGTGAATGAGAATGAACTATGGCTTGGGGATGGAGGATAAGCAAACCAAAAAGAGGGGGTTACACTACATGGTGGTCTGGAGACTAGTGACGGAGACCTATAGAGGGACACTGGCTCATACAGTTTCGGTAACTACTCCTTCTGTTTATGTATTTTGTTGCACTGGTTTCACATTCACCGTTTAAATTAGTGCAAAGTTAATTCCTTACTGGAAAGCCACCATTTTGTTTCTTACTGAAGCTATAGAAAAAGTAGTTCAGTTCAGTGACTGAACTGACTGCTCCCATCTTAGCCACGCTTTATGCAAAAATTCCTTTGACTAGACTTACAGCTATATTACGGCTATAATGTAAAGTGGACATTTAAAATAAATGAATATATATATAAATATACTGAAAGCTGTAACCAAACGATCTAAACAGCCTTGAAATGAATCCGTCTAGATTTCTGAGATATGCAAGTTCAATGACAAATGCAGTAATCGGCAAAAAAAAAAAAAAAAGTTAAAACAACTCATTTCATAAATTACATGGATAACACAATTCACATTCCCAAGCACAGTAAAATGTATTTCTTTCTCGCCATAAGCTTTAAAAATTTCATCTAGGGGCTTCCCTGGTGGCGCAGTGGTTGAGAGTCTGCCTGCCAATGCAGGGGACACGGGTTCGTGCCCCGGTCTGGGAAGATCCCACACGCCGCGGAGCGGCTGGGCCCGTGAGCCATGGCCGCTGAGCCTGCGCGTCCGGAGCCTGTGCTCCGCAACGGGAGAGGCCACAACAGTGAGAGGCCCGCGTACCACACACACACAAAAAAATTTCATCTACTTTTCCAATACAAAATATAATAAAATATTGGTCCCTTCATCTTATTTTTTATGTGGCAGAAAGTTCTTTCCATTAAGTGATGAAATAGTTTTAAGGAAACAATAAGTTAGCTTTCACCCACTCTGGAGAGATTTTTCAGCTTTATATTTAGCCTCTTTAAGTGTGCTGGAAGAGACTATAAATTTATGATTCACCAAAGTAAAAATAATCCAACACCTGCGTCCACTTCAGTAGGAGGAGGAAGAATCTACCTTCCCCTTTCCTCAATAAATCATCAAGATAATATGGCCACTTTGAATTCTGACCCCAAATCCTAGTTTTTATCTAGAGCTGTATGTTAATGATATGAGGAGACCATATTCTTGAAACCCAAATATAGCATTGATTTTGGCTACTGTTTTTGTTTTATCTGGGCGACCGTGGCTACCATGGGACTTTTTTGGTGGGGTGGTAAGGTTGTTTTTAATGTATGAATTAAAAGCACACCTGATTATTTCAAAGTACACAAAAGAACAACAACGAACACCAGCCAGGAATGGATCCCTTAAAAACAGAACAAAAAACCCGGAATTCTTCCCCCAGTGGACAGATTATGGGCTGGGACGATCTGACAAAATCTCAGATCCACTGCTTAATTACATGGGGAAAACAAAACAAAACAACAACAAAAAGAACTGGAACACGTTTCTTAGATTGCAAAGAGGGAAAATTAGAATAAAAAACCAGTTTGATTTTGTTTCCCTAAAGCCCGATGCAAGGAGCATCATGGGTGCTACTATTTTTCACCTTGTGCTCTTTTTAGATCATCTTTTGGCCCTTCATCTAAGATCGTTAACATAATGAATACTTTTTGGTTAAAAAGGGGTGGGCAGAAGACAAGAAACTCAGGTGCTTTTGAAAAAGACTGATTTTCTTAATAGTTGTCATTCTCTGCTAAGTCATTGTGTTAAATCAGGCTGCTGTTCTGAACTCAGGAGCACAATTTCTCCCTCTCTGTAGCCTTCAAACACACATACGGCCTAGAGGCAGATGGGCACTTATTTTGGACACACACTGATACGTTTGTTTGGATGCAGACACATGGAAAATGGAAGAACAGCAGCTTGACAGAACTGCTGCAGGATCCTCCCTGAAATACAGTTTTGACAAGATCAGGATACCCTCTTCTTCCGCAGAAGTAAATTTCTAACGTTTTTGTCAAAAGTCTGTAGAAAAACCAATCTAAAGCAATGTATTACAGGCTTTCAAGAAGAAGCACTTTTATTCAGTGCTTTCCTGATAAGCAAATTCCTTGTTTGCTAACCTGGATTTAAAAATTCTATCCATAAAAACAAACATAGAATCAAAGCAGATCAAAATCATCTTGAAAAATGGGGAGGAGACTTAGCAAAGGAGGTGGATGGTGGGCATGTAGCAGGGGGAAGCAGTTACACTGAGAGCAAACCCTAAATGCACACCAGTTCCCTATTACTCAGCTTGTACTCCTAGAGGGAAAAAGGCACTCACACATCAGCACCCCTGGAGAGTCAAAATGAGAAAAAAAAAAAAAAAAAAAAAAACTAAGACTGCAAGGTGACACTATAATAAAGGATAAGCACATTTTCTTTCATAGATTGCAGTTACTCTTGGCAACACTGAACGTGACACATTCCTAAGTCAGGGGAAGGATTTTCAGTCATTTAGAAATGTGGTTTACTTCTGCACACACAGCTCTCGCTCTCACCCACACATCCAGCATGCTTCTCCTTTCTGCTAATTTACATATGCTTTTCCACTATTAAATCATCCAAACAGCAGACGACCTTACCTTCCCAGCTCTTCTCATCGCACAATGCAGTCAGGTCCAGCTCCGGCACTCCGGAGACAAAGCTCTCTTGCTGGTCATCAGCATTTGCAGTCCTCTGCAGCTTGCTGTCAGGTAGGCTGGGACGCTCCTGGATCTTCATGGTGGGGTCCTGCAATAACAGCACAACGTCCCCAAATCTCTACTGCTCATCAAAACCCCCAAACGTCCGCAGCAATTCCACTCCTGCTGGGTGAAACCTCCCAAGCCACAGCTGCTGATGTCCCCGGCACGGAAACCGAAATCATAGCTTGATGCCCCCTGGATGCTAGCTGGCCACTTGCATGCAAAAAGCGACCATCCATCTGCGCTCCTTTAACTTTGCTTCTGGAAGAAAGACAAGATGCTTTCCGCGGGCTGCTCTTCCTGATAACTGCTGGCAGCTGACAGTCTGGACGATTACTGACTGGGGCCAGGAAGGAGGGAAAAGGAGTTTGTGTTTCCTTAAAGGAGGATGGCTCTCCAGACTGTAAACGAAAACCCAAAACTCAGCTAGTGCCGTTGCCAAGGCTGCAGCAGCAACGTGGTGTCTCCTGCGCGCAGACTTCCTTGCCCCTTAGGCAAACAGTGCTGCAGGGCCAGGAGCGGAGGCTGTGCACACGTGTGCTCTCCTGCTGGCCCTGCAGGCTTAGATCCATTAAGCGGGGCTAGCTGCACATTCCCCGATTTCCTGTGGTTGTTTTTGCCTCGAGTGTGGGGAGAACAGACTATTTATGGAGGAGCTCTGGGTATGCACTGTTGCGCAAATTCAGACAGCAAGGGGGTCTGGTGTCGCAGCTAGCAGCTAAGCGTAAGGAATACGCACTCTGGAAATGAGCCAAAATTACACAGGGAGCACGACTTTTTTTTTTTTAAGTAAAAAGGCAAGAGCTGGCAAGTCAGAGATGCATAATTTATACCTTACAAATATGCAACTGTGGCTTGTTTTCTTGGTTTTGTTTATTGGTGGCACGCACACCAGGCTAGGATGTCTGGGGGATGGGAAAACTCTCCCCCAAAGGCTGCTATTTTAACTAAGTGATTTTATGTTTAAAAAACTGCATTGAAATTTAGTCTTTCTTACCTTGTCCTTTGGCACCGGGTAAAACCCAACCACTGCCATACTCTCCTCTCTCATAAAATTATAAATAAAAGTGTTGCCTCAAAACACAATTCTCAAGTAGCACAGATCTGTACAAAAGATTTTCTTTGAGAATAACCGGAAATTTATTTTAGCAAATATACCATCATTAAATAAAAAAAACAAACATCTGGAAATCATAAATGATTCTGTTAATGTATGAGAAATATTCTTATGCTTAAAATAAAGCAGTACTAAGACTTCCACCTCCTTTTAATAGCTATTCACCCTACTTTGATATCACCAGGGGAATAGATAGGGCTTTTACTACTATATTTCCATGAAATGAAGCATTCTCTTTACATTTGGGATAAAATGAAATATCACCAATCAGTTCATGATAAGCTACTGAAAGATGCAAATGCTAAGTAAATCTGGGGCTTTAAGACACTTTAAACATTCTGCTTGTCTATTGTAGGGGAAAAAACACACAGATTATGCATTTGTGTCACAAAAATCATTTGTTCCCTGAGCTGAATCCTAAGTAGACAGAGTTGAATGACCCAATCTGGTGCTCAGCTTTTTAAAAGTTACAGCATCAGTTAGTCACCTATCGTGTGTGTGTGTGTGTGTGTGTGTGTGTGTTAGAACCTCATACAGCAAATAAACATTTTCTCAATAAAGATTTCTAATAACTGTTACACTTAGAGACAGATAAAAGGGAAGAATATGAGATATATGATTCCATGTTGTAAGTATAGCACTTTCTTCATGAGGAACATCTTTGAAGCCACTGACCAGCAGAGGAGCGGATGTGAATTTTCCCTCCGGGCAGACCTGGGATTGAAGTGTGACTGACGTTTAGTAGCTCGGTGCCCTAGCTGAGCCATTTCACTCCTCTGAGCCTCCATTTCCTAATCTATAAAACGGCATTGAAAACACTAACCTGGCAAGGTTCCTTTGAAGATCTGAGAGAAGGTATGAAAGGCCTCTAGCATGGTGCCTGGAGCAGAGCCACACAAATGGAAGCGATCCCTCTTTTTATTATTATTAGGCACCATAGGAAGATGAGTAAAATATTGCTACATCTCAAAATGCTCAAGAGAGGAGTGGGAGATGAGGTATATAAACTGCAATTCAAGGTGCAACATGCTACGACAGGGCGGGGCAGAGTCTTAGACGCATTATGAAAAATGATTAGAGAAGAGAGACACTTGTGTTCCCATCACGGATCAACAACAGCGTTCGGGGGCTGTGTGGGCCAGAGGGCACTTCAGAGAGGCGGGCAGGAGTGGGGGACAGTGACCGCAGGAGACGAGAGGCTTGGGTGCCGGTCCTTAGCACACGTGACGAGGGGGTCGGATGAGCGGCTGGGCTGCCAGAGGCCCTGCATACTGGGCTAAGTTTGGATTTTATCCTGTGGTAGATAATGGAAAGTCACTGAAGGATTTAAAAAACTGACTCATCCTGGAGAAACGTGCGTTTTCCAGGCTGATGCCTCAGGCATGGGAATGCACGCTGCTGGGAAGACCCACAGGCCTCAAGCCGGGCTCACAGGCAGCCGGCACCCCCTGCTACACCAGTCACTGGCTCTGCTCCCCCTGGTACCTGTGTCCCCTCAGGGCACTCAAGAGTCCTGCAGTGCTTGACATGACATGTATAAAATCCCCCAGTTCCACAAACACACAAGCTAATTGAAAACGTGTACTTTTTATGACTGCCACATCCAAATTAGCACCAACCGCAAAGTAAGAAAATTAAAATGAGAAAACTCTTCCTTAGTCCTTCCTCCAGAGCGTACGGGTTTACTCACTCCTTCAACAACAGTGGGTTGACGCATCCACTCTCTGTGCTGGGCTGTGTGTGAGACATGCAAGCTCTCCACAGCAAGGGGGCTGGCGTTCAGCGGAACAGGCTCCACTATACTCAGTGGGGCTCTGGAAACTCGACTCTGGTGTGAGGCCACAGCAGTCCCCTTGTGAACTGGTGAGCTGCCCTTCACGGTGTTCAAGTAAAGTCTGGGCGTTAGAAATGCAGGAGAGGGAGCAATTACCACCCTGGGTAGGATGTTGGGATAGACAACCTTGATAGGACTCTATTATTCTGACAAAGAGAACCAGGTCAAAATTGTACTAGTTTATTCAATTATAAGACTATATATCACATATTATATACATATAACAGGGCTGTCTATGATATGTCAGGTGCTAGAGATACAAAGAGAAAATTTATTTACTCATTCATCTAAGAAATAATTTTTGAGGGCCTTCCATGGACTTGACAGTTTTTTAGATGTTGGAGAAATTTCAGTGGCCCAAGTAAAGTCTCTGTCCTAATAAATCTTAAAGAAGGGGATAGTTAATAAAGAAAATAAAAAGTCAGGTAGTGCTATGGACATGGAGAAAACAAAGCAGGGTAAGGAGGATGACGGAGGTACGGGCCACGGCCTGCTATTTTCTTGGGTGGCCAGGACAGTCTTTCCAGTAAGGTGACGTGTGAGCAGAGACACGAAGGAGATGCTCTTCTGTGGGAAGAGCATTCCAGGAAGAAGGAAAGCGAGTGCAAAGGCCCTGAGGCACGGTCATCTTGTACATGTTGAGGAGCAGCAAAGAGGTCACTGTATCTGGAGTCAAGCAGAGGCCAGTCAGGGCCATCATTTATGCGTGCTTAGAACGTGCACTGTGCCATCTACAACGGGATATCATTCACACTGCAGACCTGTATTAACTTACATGAGCTTCTGGACCCCCTGGCTGATCTGCACAGCAAGGCAGGGATGCATCCTACGTAAACCCACAAGAGCTCGCACAGCCACGGACACACTCGGCAGGGCTCACTCACCAGCACATCCACACACGCGGTCCTGCGCTGCTGTGCTCCGAGCAGTCCCCGAGGCTGCTCATTCACCTGCCTGCTGCATCTTTAGGCCTGATTCCCAGTTTCTGATCTCGGAACCAGACACAGTCACCTTGCCTATGGTTGCAGGGTGGGCTGCTGGTGTGGTCCCAGGGTTTACAGGCACATGGAGCTCAGGATACTGCTCGGAGGCTACATAGGCTCTATAGCAATACACTAGCAAAAACCTACCCTTCCTTCAAAAGTCTGTCAGCCTCGTCTGGGTGAGGCACCTCACCAGGTTGTTTCCCACTCTCTAACAGTGCTTATTGTAGAGTATCGTGCCTGTCTACTTGCTTGTCTGTTTCTCCTACTAGATAATTACTGTTAAAATGTCAAGGACATTCTTAAATACCAAAATATTTTTGGTTTCAACTTTTGTTGTTTACACAGATTGTATCTTCAGTTAAATCAGGGTAAATACATTCATTTCACACTTATCAACTCAGAGATCCTTGTGCTGTGAATGTCACACGCTAAACCCTTGTCCAAAATGTGGTACCATACGAAAACATGCTAAATATTCATGTCATGAAATAAACTGAGGGACTGGCTCTTTGGAGAGACAATAGGGTATGTGAGATATGGGTTTTAGAGTAAGAGACTGGAGTTCAAATACAGGTGACCAGTTGCAAGATCTTCAATGAGTAAACTTTGTACTTGAGATTCTTTTTCTCTCCTACAGGAACACAACTTCATAAAGTTCTGGAGATTAAGTGAAAAACATGTAGCATAAAAACAGCCAGCCCGTAATAACTGTAGAAGAAATACTAATTCCATTTATACGCTACCTCCCCTTCCCATTCATTCATTGGGCAAGTGTTTATTGAACATGTACTATGTGCTAGGTACTGGAATTAAAGGGATTAACAAGATAGGGCATTTGGTGTGGAAGGGATTCACTGATCACCGAAGTGCCAAGTCACATGCATGTTATAAAAGAAAAACACAGGGTGCTAGGGAGCAAATAAGAGAGAGCTCATTTTGCCTGGGGCCGCACGTGACATTTCACATTCAGGTAAAGGAACCATTAACTATTAGTCCCTCCACCTGATCCCTGTTAGGACTTGTCCCTGTCTGGCTGGGCCCGGCTTTTTCTATCCTGACTTTATTGATCCTGCTCTTGCCCTGGCATCAAATCGCTGGTGAATTTTTGTTCTACCCCTTCTCCCTCCCTACACAGGATTTGGATAAGCAGCAGTAACTACTAGCTCACCAGAGCGGGACAGGACAGTATCAGTGCCCTGCACAAGGCAGTGTGCACAGGAAGGAACCACACAGAGTTAACAGAAGGGCCACATGGAAGTATAAACATTTACTACTTGGCTTGACAATAAAGGAAAATGAACATAACAAATTCCCCAAATTCATCTGAATCGTGAAGCTTCTGTAGCCTTTCAAGACTGGATGGAATTGGAAAGGAATCTACACAAATAGAGCTTTTACATTTTTTCTGGTTCTGATATTAAAGCCAGTAACAAATCCTAAAGCTTCCATGATATACAGTGAAGCTGAAATAACTGAGTCATCCATTTCATAAACACTTGTAGATAGGGCTATTTCAGAAGTTATCTCAAACCTTCTCAGGGCAAATAGAAGCCTGCACTTAAGCTCTTGTGACAATTAATATTAATTCTTACGCTTGATTAGAAAGCCTTATCTTCTCTCCCCACTTTTTTTTTTTTTTTTGGAAGCAGGATAAGAAAAAGGGAAATAGTCTTTTGTTTATTATGAATGTCCTGTTTGTTATCAAAGGTATGCTTCTAAGCTCTTTTAAAACGGTAGGCTTAGAAAGCATAAAGAATGTAAAAATATCTTGAAAGAATTTAACACTTCATCAACCGTAAACTTCTGACTACAAGGACCTCTTCCAGGTAATGTAATACCCATCCATGTACTTAATAATTTTTACATGTTTTGCTTTCTTCACAAAAAGATTAAGAATAAGGTTGTAATTTTACTAGTCTGGATTTTATACGGAAGTCTAAAATATTTCCACAACAGAAAATAACCTATTGAACGGAATCAAATTGAAGCGTAAAGTATACACTCCATTGTAAACTGAACTCTGAAAATTTTTCAGTGTTGTCTTTCAGAATCTAGAAATTGCTAGTTTTAAGGACAACCTCTCTCCTGGATACTTCCGGTTGTCAAATGAGTTTAAAAACAAACAGAACCAAGTCTTTGAACTCCACATGCTCCGGGAACAGGGGGCTTCAGCTCTTGCACATGTTATCCTATTTCATCCAGCCCAAACGGTATTTTCTTAAAATGTCAGCCTTTCCAAAACTTAGCTGAAGAAATCATACTTAAATTTTTGACATTTTGAAGGGACTCTAACATTTTTCCCCATCGCCAATGTGTCACGAGACGAATTTTAATGCAAACCACATTAAGAAATTCAGATGACATAGAAACGGATGACTCTCATTGACCAGTCGAGATCTCAGCAGACTCTGTTTTTGGATAAGATAAGTTGTATAATTAAAAGAAAGTAAAAAGACAGGCAACGAAGTATAGGCCCATGTTTACTTTTCAACACATGCCTTCAAACAAAAACACACTTAGGGCTGCAAAATGATTATTTAAAACATGAAGTCACAGCTGTGCAGGCATTTGCCTTTGAGCAGCAGACTCTAAGCCAGCCGCTCTCTGCCTGTGTATCCCTCGGAGGAACATCTGTGACGGTGAAGGTTAGTGTTCCTCGTTCTGATGAAAATACCAGTGAAAGAAGAAAGACCAAGCACCTTTCTCCAATAGCTGTCATCTGCCGTGTTATCGTATATGAATCTGGGCGTTTATAAGGAAAAACTTCAAGGGCAATATTAATGAGGACAAAATCTGCCTTAATGGAAAATGAAATCGGAAACATTATCATATCCATTCACAGTGGGCATGTAAATTTTAGCATCTCAATCTGATGCTATAGGAGACTTGGAAAAAATAACAAACAGAATTCTACTAGGGGTAACCAACCTCTAGACTTCCTTTCCATCTCTGAAATTTAGGAATCAGTGCGATATTCTCAGAAAACCAGATTAACTATTTGGGTTGCATAAGTTCTAGAAAGTGCTCCATATATTAAAAAGTAGGAAATTATGATAGACTGTAGACAAGGGAAAGAGGTTTAAAAATGGAAGACAGATCTTTTCACAGTCCTTCATTAGTAATAAAATACATTTCTTTCAGTGAAGGAGACACATGCCGTCACAAGTAGAAACACAATCCTAACCTTGTGGAGTGATGTCTTTTTTCCCTCCTTTGGTGCAGTTGTGAAAGAAAGATGACACAGAGAGCTTAGTCTGGATTTTAACTCAGTGCCTAATTTTATCTCCTAGCTGAAATTACCATGATTACAATGACTATTACTAGTGAGTGCTTCAGGAGTGCCAACAGTGGGCTAGGTGCTGATTGGTAAACGCACATGCACGACACAAGTAAGAATAGATCCTGGCCCATGGAAGAAAGACTTGAGATCCCTTCCCCGTGATGCATGCTCTGCTGTGGGAGCTGTCCACAAAAACACCAAGGTAAATGGGGTTCAGCACCCATTTTGTTTGGGTGCCACTTGGAATTTATGAGTTAGGTACGTAGTTCATCCACAAAGGCTGCTCTCTACCCTTTTATCTCCTAAAGGATACGAGGCATAAAAGGGAATAACTGAGAAGAACTCTCTAGGAGGCTGGTAAAGCCATTTTCTTTAAAATGAGCTTCAGTGGCATGATGAGTAGGTGCTTGCTGTGAGCAGAGGAAGAGAGCAGAGAAAGGAGGAAACAGAAGGAAACTAAAACAACACTATCATGGGGATGCTGGGCTCTGAAAAAAGGTGACTAGAGACAAGGAAAGAAGGTCTGCTTGTTGCCTGGGTCTCAAAGAAGGAAGCATAAAGGAGTTGGAAATAAGAGATGAAAGCAGCGGCTCAGAATCTGTAAAGTCAAAAAGCAGCAGCCTCCCTTCCCTTCGTCTGGCTGGGTTAATGAAGGAGTGCACGTGAGAAATTGCACAGAGGAGATACGAGGAGTCTAGGGCACGGCGGAGGCGGGGTGTCAGGTGGCCATTCATTTCTAGCAATTTTATGCCAAATTCTACATGAGTGGCCATTTTTCTAAGAAGGGGGTCCAGAGCTTTTGAATTCTTAATTTGCTAGACTGGAAAACTTTATGGAGGTAGGAACTGCAGCTGTTATTAAATCCCAGCTCCTAGCACATTACCTGCACATAGTAGGACTCAATATATATTACTGAATAAATCCATCAGTGGGTTAGGTTAGTGTACAAAAAAGATGAACAATCACTGGGTTAGAGGGGAAGTCAGAATCCAAGAACAGGTTGAGAAACGCTTTAACTCTTGCCAAAAAGAAAGCTGATAATAAGATTGAAGGTGCAGCTGGAAGCATTTGGAAGTACTGGATTACATACACGTGCATGAATGAAAAATGAGGCTCAGAACACCGAATGGAAGCCAGCGTCGGGAGCAAAGGAAACCAAATACTTGGGTCAGCAAGGCTATGCCCCCAGAGGACAACAGGGAAGCCAGGAAGGTCACCAAAACTTTAAGATATGGACCACAGAAGGGAGTTAGATATTTTTTCTCTGTGGTCTACTTAAAACAAGACACAAAACTCAGAAAATGAATTGGATTCCATAACTTGAACTGATTTTATGTTAATTTGAAAATTAATAAGATCATCTCTTTGACACATGCACTAAAATTCACTATTTATTTTAATCACTTAAAAACTGCATGAAATCATGGAAAATAAAACTAGTAGCTTTGGTATTTGTTTTGTCTTATTTTATGGAAAACCTAAGGAGAAATCTCCATGCTATTAAAGTTTATCCTCACAAGCAAAATGAAAGAATTTAAAAAGCAAAAGAGTGGAGTTCTTCTGATTTCTCAAGGAATCTTCATGTCTTGGCATTTGTCTTTCTCACCAATCACAATCCCGTCACTGAATGTCATCACCCCTTATTGATAAGCTAATAATACTTCACACTAACTCTCAAGAATGTAGGGACAGACCTGTCACAGTCAAAATCTTACTTGTTAGCTACTTACCTCAGAATGCTGGGTCTGTCTGCAGTCCTTTTCATTTTCTTTGCTACAAACAAAATATCATAAGATGTCATTCTGTTTTATAACGATGCTTCTCATTCACTGAAATTATGATTTCATTTATTTTAGAAGCTCAGTAGCTCTAAATAAAATTCTTATATGAAATTCAAAAACAAAACAAAAAAATTAATCAGAACGAAACAAAACTAGAAACAACACAAAACAGGAATATGGTTATCTGCCTTTAACAGCACCATGGTAGATTTTTCCATTTAAACATTTTCCTCGCTATAAAATACTGTTGGTAAACATATAGTCCTTTAATTCTACTCTTTTTAGTTCTTACAACGCGCATTGCACTAAATGAAAAAAAAAAAAAAGGCTCTTCACATTCTTATAAACAATGTAAGGAGAAAACTCTAAAATTACCTTCCATCGGACGTCAGCTCAACATCATGAGGTCCCATCCTTTCACGAGATGGTGTGGGATTGAGACTTTCCATATTCTGTAACAAAAAGAACCATTTGTTGCCTAGCAGGAATGGTAAGACGTATGCAATGCAACAACAGACCCTCCTTTCTTTAAAATAGAAACATCGGATAACTTCTAGTCATCAGAGTCCTATCTTTAAAATTATGACAGTTTATTAGACACTGCTGGCATAAAATTATATGCTGAACTTTACCATTCCATTAACAAAGATGTCTGATAGCAGCACAGAAATGGTCATTGTGGTCTATAACGTTCTTGTTAGTTATTATCCACATTTTGTAGCTAAACATAAACAAAACCCAGACTCTCAGAACACCAGGGTGGCATCAGAGCTAGACTTGAGGAATCTGACCTCCAATGTGATCAGAAGCCAAAGTAACATTCATTGTCTATTTAACATCTTTTCAGTCTATATTGACAATATGATCTGGGGTATTATGTAGCTTGTATCTAAGCTATAAAATAGCCATAAAAAGACATGGAGTTAACTTCAGAACCTTTCTTTCTGTGATATTTAATGTTAATCTTTATATTAGCCAAGATGGACAAAAAATATAAACACGAAACTTACTTCAAATAGCGTGTATTTCAGGCTGACCAAGAGGGCTTAATGCTTATCAGGAGGTATATTTGTAAGGTTTTCTGACTGCCTGTGTAAAAACGGCCAACAGTTTCTAAATACAACTCGGGTGACTGAGCACAAAGTAAGCCGTCCCCAGGCAGGAAGATTACAAATATGCAAACAGGAGCTCGTTTACATTCGGGAGACCCAAATACAGAGCTGCCTTGGAGATTTGGAACCGAATTTCGTTGAAGTCAAAGATTCAGATCTGCATTAAAAGACCATTAAGCACAATCCATGTATTCTGTGTTATCAAAATAAAGAACACATAGTGAAGCAACATTTATTCATCTACATGTTTATAATCTCTCCTTATGAAAAGCCCGTTGGAAAGTATATCTGATTAAGGTTCACAATGATCCCACGAAATTGACATATACAAAAGTCTTCACAAAATAAGCATATAATTAGAGTGGATAACTAATCTTTGGCTTGGTAAATATTTTCCACTTATAGTGGTGTGGCCAACCTGTCTGGAATTCTTAAAGTTTAAAACCCTAGGCTCGGGACTTCCCTGGTGGTGCAGTGGCTAAGAATCCGCCTGCCAATGCAGGGGACACGGGTTCGATCCCTGGTCCAGGAAGATCCCACGTGCTGAGGAGCAACTAAGCCCATGTGCCACAACTACTGAGCCTGTGCTCTAGAGCCCGCGAGCCACAACTACTGAGCCTGCGCACCACAGCTACTGAAGCCCACGTGCCTAGAGCCCGTGCTCCGCAACAAGAGAATCCATCGCGATGAGAAGCCCGCGCACCACAATGGAGAGTAGCCCCCACTCGCCGCAACTAGAGAAAGCCCGCACATAGCAACAAAGACCCAACGCAGCCACAAAAGACAAACAAAAACCCTAGGCTCCATCAAGAATAAAAACAAAGGGAGACAGCATCCCATAATAGCTATAATGGTGGCTCTGGAGCCAGAATGTTTCAGTTGGAATCTTAGCTCCACCATTTACCAACTGTAAGACCCTACCTGACTCTCAGTTTCCTCATCTGGAAAAGGGGGATGGCAACAATACTTAACATAGGGTGGTCATAGGATTAAATGAGATAATACACGTAAAGCATTAAAATAATACCTTGTACTTTTAATGAACAGTAGCTGTTGTTGTTGATGTTATTATGACTTCTAAAACTGTGAAATCTCCAAGGAAATATTTTGCTGCTATTTACCCACAGTTAAGATGATGTTCTAGGAACTAGTAAGACAGTGATTGTGTCTGCCATTACTGCACACCAATTTACATGTTTAGATAATTTACACAGTTAGATAATTTTAGAATGGATCTGAGAAATAAAAAAAAAATTATAACCACATTCAATTATACTTACATTTTTATACCTCTAAAGTTTGAGTTAGAAGAGGCCTCTCTACAATGGCTCTCATGAAGCCAAAGTGTAGTTGCTCTTATTACCTGAATGTGATCTTCCTCATAAAGAGGGATCTATGACAAAGAATCTTTGTTCTCATTGGTAATCTTCAATAGATTATCAAAATCTTTAGTGTAAGATCTAGTGCAATAGCATTAGGTTTTCCTGATGCTCTGAAACATGAATTCCTAGGGGAAGCACAACCCTCTACCTTCAGATCACTTTAAAACACTATCAATGAAATACATTTATAATTACAGTAAATACAAATGACTATTTCAGCAGAAATAAAAACCTTCAGAGCTTCCGTGGTGGCACAGTGGTTGAGAGTCCGCCTGTCAATGCAGGGCACAAGGGTCCGTGCCCCGGTCCGGGAAGATCCCACATGCCGTGGAGCGGCTGGGCCCGTGAGCCATGGCCGCTGAGCCCGCGCATCCGGAGCCTGTGCTCCGCAACGGGAGAGGCCACAACAGTGAGAGGCCCGTGTACCGCAAAAAAGGAAAAAAAAAAAACCAACAAAACCTTCAGGTTGAGGCTAAGAAATATTCAGAAAGAAGGAAGAAAAAATAAACCATAATATTATATAAATTTAAAGATACTTCAGTTAGAAAAATGTTAGAAGACTGATTTTTTCCCAAAACAGAAACAACCAAGATTTAAGCAATATAGGTTTTGAGAATTATAGAAAAAAGATAGCTACGTTTTACAAAAAAAAGCTCTGAGAAAAGCAGGTGTGAAATGTGAGAAATTTTAGCCGATTTCCAGGGTTAAAACAAGCAGTAACTTCAACTCCCTCGCCCCCCCCCCCCGCCACTTTTTAAAAAATGTTTGATCTGTGTGTTTTATAACTCTCCAAGGACCTGAGTTTTTAATACATGTAATTGACAAAGGGTGACTTTCAGTACTGTTCAGTATTCCTCTCTAAAGCTTTACAATAATTCCAGTTTTCATGTTGTCCTCCACATGACTGAGACTAGTAAATATTCACAGTCTGCTTTCACCAAAGCAGCAGGCAAGTACACCGTGTTCCTTTGCTAAGGTAGTTGGGTTACCCCTATACCGTTGGGAAACAGGAATCTGTGAAGAATGTGTTACAACTGGCAACCTACCCTAATTTTTTCAGAAGGAAAATAATAAAGGTAGTGAAGACCCAGGAGTAGAGTAACAAAAGTACCTATTACCATGGCTGCAAAGCATTTTATAGATTCTAACTTGCATCTTTTGCCTAAGGGCTTAGGGAGGGAAGGTTAAGAAATAGATCAGCAATTTCCCCACTTCACTGAGATGGGGGGAAGGGGAAAATGGAACGTACAGGTCAAAATATTGGCTGAAATGTAGAAAGCTTCCATTGTAAGAGAAGTATGCTACTGGACTTTCAAACGCTCTGTAGTTGTTAAATAGTGCTGGTCTTATGAGAAACGCCGACTCCATGCCTTTTGAAGGTTTTAAACTGTTTTATGTCCCAAACACTTCTCTAGGTGTGGTAAAAGAGTAGGTCATCGATGTTTCCATTTATTAAAGTTGAAGTAGTACAATTCTTATTAAAAATAATGCCTTATTGCATTAACTTAATTTTAATTAGTCTTCTAAAGTTAGGATCTTTTAAAGGTAATAGGTAATTTTAAGAAATAGCAAAGAACAGATTACGTCTTTATGTAGAATGTGATAAAATTGCTTTTAGAATTGCATTAAAAAAAGATAGATAGGACTTCCCTGGGGTGGTCCAGTGGGTAAAACTCTGCGCTCCCAATGCAGGGGGCCCAGGTTCGATCCCCGGTCAGGGAACTAGATCCCACACGCCGCAACTAAGACCCGATGCAGCCTAAATAAATAAATATTAAAAAAAAAATACAGATAAAGCCTAGTTCTGCCTCATAGAAGGCCTACCAGTGACTTTCAAAACATACAGATTTTCTATGATATAATTTACTTGGACAATTTTTGGGTGTCAGAAGAAACTGAATTTTAAGAACCACTCTCCTCAATTATAAAAATGACCTCAAATCTATAAAGAGCAAAAGCTTTGAAAAAATTAGCTTTAAGACTGTGGAATTTACTTTCAATTTTTTCCCCTGGCTCCATCTCTGTTTTGGCATTGACAGCCAGGCTCAAAACTTGTTTGACCACTGAAGCACTTGAAAACACCTGGAGCAAAAACAAATTTGTCTTCTAAAACTATAAAATGCTGACAAAGCCTTTAGAGAGGACACTCAAACAATGCCTTCGCTCAGTATACAAACAGCTCAGTCTGAAGGCTGCATGAACACTGCTAGTCAAAACAAGTTCATTATTCTAACCTTGAGCTCTAAGAGAAGGTATGTGATATATTCTCATTAACAAAGGATTCATGGCAAATCTGAATTTCTTTTTGTATCCTTCTGTTTTATGTTTTATTATGCTTAAAACTCATAAATTAATCCATATTCAAAAAGAATTTCTGGTACTGTAAGAGGACACCTATGGAAGAGCTGGCTAGCTGTCCCCACAAGTCCGTTCCACCTTTCTTGCACAGCAGTGCGGGAGCCACACGCCCAGCGACAGCGCATCCACAGCCCCTCCGGCAGGTAGATGGGGCCATGTGACTGACTTCTCTCCGACAGGCTGTGAGAAGTGGTATGTATGTTTTCCAGGCCTGGCTAATAACCTGCCTCACCAGGTTCATGCCTTGACACTCACTTATTCTCTCCTCTTGGGAGCTGGAACGGAGATAAAAACCACGAATTCTCTGGAAGCTACTTGCTGAAGACGGCAGAGAGGCAGCTGGCCTGGGTCCCCGAAACATTGCGTGGAGCAAGTGTTCTCTTCTCCTGAGCCCCAAACTGCTTTAGATTGTCACGGGAGAAAGAACTTTTATAGCGTTCAAGGCATTGCATTTTGGGTCTTTTTGTTACCCGAGTTACTCTAAGCTATACGGCAACCATTCATTCGCTCCCTTTTTTTTAACTCATTTTTTGTGAGTGCTGAGCTATGCTGGGCACTGGCGTACCATGGTGGATGGGGAACCGGACAGACACCGGTCCT